AATCGGAAAAGCGGAGGCGCTGCGGCCGAATATAGATGCGGTATATCTACCGCCATTCTTTTCGCCGGGGACTGTACATGAAGATTTAGTGATTAAAAAAAATAACATTTAGTATATGCTTTATTTATAATTGTAATAAAAATACAAGTTTACTCTCAATTTTGTACATTGGATTTTTATCTCCTCGATGGATAATCTTGACTTTTAGTCTAGAAACAAAAAAACTTTTTTACATGCGAGAAGTTTTTGATAAAAATTTTTTTTTTAATCAATAATTTATTTGTCAAAGATCGTCATGACATAATATTACGTAATTATTAGTCTAATAAAGTAAGTGATATTTTTTATACATTTAAAATTTAACAGTAAATATTTTTTTTTTAAAAGCCAGCTAACGCTTCGGACGTTCCAACGGTTCCCGTTACCTAGTATTTTAAGTATATTAAAATTTTAATAAATAAAAGCATAAATGACATTAATTCTGCATTACAAAATATAATTAACAAATTCTTTAAGTATTGGTTAATTACGTATAGAAATTGTTGTTTTTACCTTCATCAATTGAAACTGATTCTAAATTCGAATTTGAAATTTTATCAAATAAAAATGAGTATTAGAGCGTGGTAAATAATACATAATTTACCTTATAATAAGGAAGTTTTTTTAGCATCCGAAATTGGCTCATGAAAAAAAAGAAAAATTTTAGAATATCCAGTTAAATTAACTCATTTTAGTCATATCATACAACCTTTTATTCTTTCTTCTTGTTTGGTGAAAATATTTTTTAGTTTCTTTATTACGCTCTTTCCTTTATAATTACTATTAGACATTGTTAAAATTTATAATAAAAAAAAAAGTTTTTTTTTTAAAAAAAAAAAATTTATTACAACCAAATTATCTTGTATAACGATAACAGAATGTAATAGTAATGCATATGAGGAACAGCACTTTAAAATTCATTGGTAAATTAATAAAAATAACCAATGTTGTCGGAAATTTTTTATTTCTAAAATTTTTTTTTTTTTGGTTTACAAATTTTCTTTAAAAATAATAATCATCGCATTATGAAGATAAAAAATTTACGAGGCATCATTTGTCGATCATCTTTTAATTTATATTTTTTTTTTATAAAATGTTTTTGAAATTTTATTTTTAAAATAAAAGGTCTCTAAATTATTGATATTTGTGTATAGTAATGCAGTCCCCACCTCTAGTTGTCTAATATGTACGAACGATTATGAGTGTATTTCTTGATACTTTTGGTAGAGTGTATGTTGTCCAACGTAGTGGTGTGCATAGGTTACTGTAGCATATGACACTCTTCGTAAAAAATAATTGCTAGCTATACGGCCATTTCCGTAGGATATTTTACTTCATATAAAGCTTATACTGCGTCATAAATTTGTTTAAGTATTTTATTTTTAGCTACTTGATAATATAAATTTATATATTTTTTAGGCGATATTTTCGTTGAACTCCGTATAATCGTTTTTTTTTTTTTTCGTCATTAATTTATTATATTTACTGCTCCTTGTGGATAGAAAACAAAAAGCAAATCCATAATTGTTTTACCAAATCCGTTAGGATATCTGCGGCAACGACTCGTATTTTTGGAAACTAAATTCAAACCGATTTGGTTTTTTGGTTAGATGAACCTCTCTTAAAAATATTTTCAATAAATCTTAAATTTTTTTTTTTATTTTTATTACTACCGCACTTGTTAAATGGCCGATCAAACGGGTAGATAGAAAACCGGTTCGGTACGATTATGCAGTGCAGATCAGTAATTTTGACATCGTACCGTACCGTACTGGTCCTATAATAACTAAGCCCTATTATAGGACCAGTATGGTATGGTACGATGTCAAATTTCGCATTTTTGTATTTTTTCTTTTTTTTTTTTTAATCTATTTTTTTTTATTATTTTTATTCCCCTTCCACCGGACTTTTTTTTTTTGTCTTTTTTGTTTAGTTCCGTTTAAGTTTCCTTTTTTTTATTCTTTTTTTATTTTTATTTTATTTTGTATTTCATTTGTTTTTTTTTTATTTTTTTTATTTCTTTTTTCTTTTTTCTTTTTTCTTTTTTTATTTTAGATTTTTTTTTCTTTTTCAAAAATAAATAAAAATAAAAAAAAAGATTTCCGCGGATATGGCATTTAATTAGTAAAATGTGATATAATGATTTTTTTTTATATAAGTAATAAATTTCATTTGCGTACCATACCATACTGGTCCTATAATAGGGCTTAGTTATTATAGGACCAGTACGTCAAATTTCACAAAATTACTGATCTGCATAATCTGGTCTGACGAATCGTACCGTACCGGTTTTCCATATACTCCGAATTAATACAACTCCTTGCCTTAAGAATCCATATACAGGATTATGCCAAGGACAAAAACAGAGAAACACCCTAGACGCATTGTATTTTTTATTCAAGAATAGTTTATATTAAATATTGGACCAAAATTCATATAAAATATTAATAACTTTGTAAAATGAACACACGATAAACACATCAAATAATTTATTAAGTTCTAAAAGAGTAGACGAAGATAACTGCTGAAAGGACCAAAGTTAAGAAAGTTTATTATAAAAATTTTCCTCTTTCGGCAAAAGTATGAACGATCATGAAAATCAATTGGTCTACATAAAGCAGAAAGTATATAAACTTTGGATTAAGAATTAGGGAAATCAATGAGCATTCATTAAATATGGACGATAGAAAATTCATTAATTATCGGGATAACAGCCAATTAAGCTAATTAAGTGAAGGAACAAATATCGATTGAAATTTTAAATTGCACCCAATAAAACGGCTATTTAAGTCAAAAACCATAAAAGGAAACCCTACAAATATGGGTTATTTAGCCCAAATTAGTTAATATCCGAAATAATATCCTAAATGGCACTTCGGATATTCCAAACGACCATTTCGTACTCCAAAAGGCCGTAAAGTTTTTTTTTTATTTTTTACAATTTAAATAAATATAAGCAATTTAAATTTTTAAAATTGCTCATTTAATAATAAACTTAAGTCATTTTCCATTGGACATTATCCAGAGAATTCCGATTTGGGATATCCGTTATTATTGATCATTTCGGACATGAATGAGAATTTATAAAAAAATTCTCAGAACCTAGTTTTTCTAGAAATCATCCCGAAATATGTGTTATCCCCGAATCTAAGCTCTTTAAGACTTTTCCGATGAAAATTTGGAACCTAATAATTTTTTTCTTTTTTTTTTTGGTAAGATTTAATTTATAAAATCTCTTTTAAATATGCAACAATTCTCATGATTACTGCTATCATAAAAATTTTTAAACAATCATCGAAATTCTCAAGATGTCCTTTTCTACACAATATTATCAGACTTTAGAGTTCATCAAAAATAAATTTAATGATAATAGTAAACCTTTAGAAGAAGTAAAGCATATGATGGATGATGAAATGCCCACATCAATTCCTAATACCCATATCGTGAATGAGGTCAAACTGGATGAAAGATATAGGATCAAAAGCAAGGAATATTTAGAGGTTGGTTTGAAAATGTACGAGGACGTTGTGGATGAGAAGTGGAAAGATTTTGACGATGACGGGTTATACGGAGAGTGGATTAAAGTGAAGGATGAAAAGAAAGAGGGTGATGAAAGTAATCTTGGAAACATTAAGGTTACAGGAAGGGTCGCGCTTCACTTATTTGGAGGAGGATATTTTGCGGGATCCAGTAAAATATCTCGTAATCATACTTTCTCGATCGCTGAAAAGGCTGAATGTCAAGTTTTTTGTAAGTATTACTTGAACTTGTTTATTTCTGTATTATTTTAGATCGAAATTCATTTAAATACATCTAACTTTTTTGAATTTGGTAATTAGCAATTGATTATCATCTTGTCCCAGAACATCAATTTCCTGCGCAACTTTGCGACGCTTTAGCAGCGTATTTTTATCTTACAAACCCTGGCCCGGAAGCTGGATTTGAGCCAATTGATCCAAAACGTATTGTGTTTGTTGGAACTAGTGCTGGTGGTGGATTGGCTGTTGGTACAGCGCTGTTTCTTCGTGATGCAGGTTTGCCATTGCCATCTGGAATT